CAGAGTTTGTAACAATGAGACCAACACGATAGCAGCAAGCTTCTTATTTTTGTTTCTCATTCTCATAATATTTCACCAGGTGAGCAGTCCAGGTGTGTCCTGATCACTCAGGAACCTTTTTCCTAGGTGTTTCTCTGTCTTCCCGTAGGGACTTATCTTCATCTATAGGGTGGGATCTGGCTGCCAGGAATTCCAGACAGCAGGGAGGGGATAGAAGGGGAGAAGACCATCTTGTTGTCTCAGGGCTTTTGCAGGAATGGGAACACTCCCTGTAAGTATAGTTACCAACAGAGCTGCATTTGATTTGCTTTTGTTCTTTTATTTTGGTCTTTCTCAGTCATGCTTGTTCATGTTTTTATCTATTGTATTAATCTTATTGTTTATACAGTATTTTGCTCTTCAAAATCTTCTCTATGGCTATGTTTTAAAACTGTTTCATTGATGTCTTCCTTTACATCTTTTGCTCTCTTATTTTATGTTCTTTTTATTGCCAGAGAGTGTATTCACTCACCAGAGAGATAGAGTAAAAACAAAAACCAAAGATAACCAAAAAATCCCCAGTAGGGTACGGTCATACCACAATCCCTTTCCTTACTTTCTTTTTCCCATCAGGATTTTGGGTACATACCCACATGGCTAGCATGTTTTTCAAGCCACAGTCAACCATGTGGGTTCTACTCCCAAGCACAGTGCTTAACCACTGAGCTTTACAGTGAGCCCTCTTCCTATTTTCTTTTTTTTCTTTTTCTTTATTTTTTTAGAGAGATTTTTGCCATAGGGCGTGTGTGCTTGCAGAAAGAGAGACAAAAAAAGAGAAATCCTCCCCCCCCCCAGGAGATGGCCACACCACAATCCCTTCTCCTCCATTCTCATCCTCCTCTTGGGATTTTGGGCACACGTGTACATACACCTAGCATGAGTTTAAACCTCCAGGTCCAGGACTCGACTATGGTCAACTACGTGGGAGTCCAACGACATAACCATTATGTCATCTGCTGGTCTCCCTTTGTTTTCTTGAATATCAGTTATTTCTTTAGTTCCTTGGTTGAAAGCTGACTCATACTTTTCACTCTGTTTCCTAATTAATGTATTTAAAATAATAAATTACCTTCCTGGAAACTTCCTTAGAAGTTTGCCCCAGAAAAAAAAAAAAAAAAACATTGTAATTGCCAGAGGACATATGCACTTGCCAGAGTGACAGGGAGTGGGTAGGGAGAGGGAGAGAGACACTTCCCAACGGGATGTACTGCAGTCCTTTTCCTCTATTTCTTCATCTCTTTCTGATTTGGAGCATGAATTTATATGTACCTAGCATGTTTTTCAAGTCACTGGGTTTGAGATCAAGCCATGGGCTGCCATGTGGGAAATGACTCCCAATGCATAGTGTTTAACCACTATGCTATGGGGCCAACCAGACCCTTTTTAAAGCAGTAATATGTCATTTATTTCTAAATATTTTATAATTTCTTGCATTATTTTCTTTTAACTCATGGGTTTGTTTTTCTTTTTAGATCTTAGATCCATGGGATTTTTATTCATCCTTTTGCATTGACTTTCAGTTTTATTCCACGTGTATCACATAGCATTAATTGAAAGATGCTGACTCTTGGAAATTTACTGGACCTCCTCTGTGACTACGTGGAACCTCCATTTGTTTTTTTTTAAGACAAGTTACATAATTTTATCAAAATCTACTTATCTACCTATTTATTAATCTATTCTTTTGTTAGTCTATCAGTTTCTGAGAGTTGTATATGAAAATCTCTAAATAAAATGATTGACTTATCTGTTTCCATAAAATATGTTGAGGCTCTACCATTCAATTAACACCGGTTGCAATCATGACATCTTTTTAATGTATTGTCTCTCTTTGCCCTTCTGCATTTATTTTCATCTTAAATTCCATTATTTCTTGGGATCAGCAGTTGGTGTAATGGCTATGTCGCTGAACTCCCGTGTAGTCAACTGCAATTTGAGTCCTGGATCTGGTGGCTTAAACTCACACTGGGCATGTGTGCATGAGTGCCCAAGATTCTGAGAGGAGAATGGAAGAGAAGGAATTGTGGTGTGGCCATCCCCCCGGGGGGTGACTTCTTGCTTTCTGTCTCTTTGTCTTTCTCTGTCTTTCTGGCAAGTGCACATGCCCTATAGCAAAAATCCTCTCCAAAAATAAAAGAAAAATTCCATTATTTCTTAAAATGAAATATACAGTTTTCCTTTTGTTCATTTTTGCATATTTTTTATTCTTTTATTTGCAAACTCTGTGCCATTTCATTTTACGTATGTGATGTGATGTGTGGACAATACATTGCTGGCATGTTAAAAGTTCATCTTCCCCACAGAGGCCAGCCAGAGGGACCTTCTAAGCATATAAAGGAGAGGATATAACTCCCCTAGGTGGTCCTCCCAGTGGGAACCTCCCAGACCCTTCCTCTCCTCCATGGGCCTAGCAGAACTTGATTGCTTCCCTTTTGAGGGTCAAGCTCTCTCTGCCCAGCCACCCTGACCTTCTTGTCATTCCTTCCACGTGCAGCTGCTCTTGCTTTTTCTCCTACCTCCAATATTCTTCTGAGAGCATTATTTGGCTGTCTGCTGCTCATCTTTCAGGTCTCAATATGTAGCCCTCCACTCAATAGTCTTTCCTAAACGTCCAGCTACGGGACTCCCACTTGACAGGCTGCTGCTCTGGAGCCTGCCATTTTTCTGAGTAGCCCTCATCATCGTTGGAAAGTGTCTTGTTTATTTACACATCAAGCTCTGTGAAGTCTCTGATCTGTTCTTCACCTAGGGCAATCTCTGTTTAATAGTTGTCCAAAAAGCATTTGTAGAATGAAATTCTTGAAGGAATAAATCACTCAGGGATCATAGGTGAAAAGAAGGAGAATTGTCCTAACAACTACTAAGAACTTGTTCTCTCTCTCTCAATCCCTTGCATTCACCTTCAAGTTTCATAAGACACTCTCAAAACCCACACCAGCTGGTGTTCTGCACATTAACAAGGAGCCAGGCTGCTAACCAACGCTGGGCCCCCATTGGTGTTCTTTGCCACTCTCTCTCCTGGTGCACGTTTATTTGAAAACTCAAAAAAACCTTTTGAATGAACTGACCGCCCCTGTAAACCTGGAAGCTCTCCCCACATTTCAGTAGTTAAATATTTATTAAGTTTATTTAATCAGGAATAAATACATGATTCAGCAAAGTGTAATGCTTCCCACTAAGAATTCCCTTTGAGTGCCCCTAAACGTTCCAATCACATTCATCACAACGGAAAACCAGACAGAAGACACTGTACAGATGTTTGCAGATGAGGGCCCCTGCCTTAAAGTGGAAGTCCATATCCACAGTGTTACATTCATTGCTCCTACTTTGGCTGGCCCCTTCTGAACAGCCTTTTGGGATTTTTGAGGCGACCATGAGGGTATCCTTATGTAAATATGCTGGCTCTGATGGTACAGAACATCACAAGAACACATAGACACAGGAGCACAGATGAGCTAGCCCGACAGGCTCAGGTCCCCAGGACTCTTGTGGTGAGCAGACAGGCCTCCCTGGCAGTGTGAGACACCCTTGCGTGTCCTGTCCTCCCCAGAATGCCTTGGAAACAGGGAAAGATGAGTCATGGATTCATCTGCAGCCCCCTCACTTCCTAGCAGGATCCAGACAGGCGCCAGGGAGTAAACACTTCCTTCTCTGGCTATCCACCGTGTTTTCTCTCTCATCTCTTAAAATTTTGTCTGACAGCAATACACCGATTGGGCTCCCATCTTTCCTGGAGCTCAGCATTTTTATTCATGTGGATGCCAGACCTTTCTAAGAATAAACATGGGATGAGTGAATTCTTTAGAACGTACCAATTTCTTTTTTTTAAAGAAATCCCACCATGCTCCTTTGTTCAATCCAGCCAGCCCTTACACTCTCCTGAGATCAGCTGAACTCAAGCTCTTGATCACCCTCGTCTGCTCCCAACCCCATCCTACAGCAGGACTTGGTTTCTCCTCGTGCACTTCACTTTCATGTTATTCATTTATACACTTTTCTCTCTGTCTACACTGTGAGCCCTTCTTCTGGGGTCTTTTTTTTTTTTTTTTCTTTTGATCTAAGACAGTACCCAGGACTTCACACAGTGCCCCTTCAGGCAATTATGAATGAATAATTGATGCGTTCGTACAGGCAGGAGCCCAGCTAGCCAGAGAAGCTTTCTCTGCACTACAAAGCTGTGGCTGGGGACATGACGAGAGTGCATGCAGTTCCAGCCCCCTTTCGCTCCCCCACCAGCATTCTCCCTCTCCTGGGTGCCTTGCCCCGGTCAGAATCAAGAAAGCCATCTTACTTCTGAACACGTGGCTTTGATGCCCAAGGATGTCAACGGCATCTCTCGACCTGGAGCTAGGTCCTTCAGGCTAACATTTAGTGTCACAGAGTTCCCCTGGAAAGAGGAGATGCAAGGCAGACGTTTCTATGGCTTGGTAAAACAAGTTCCATTCAGGGATCAGTCTCCGAACCCAGATTCTCTGCCAAGGCCCACTTTTGGTCAGTCTGCCTCTCAGAGTTTCTCAAACATTACCTCCCTCCAGCGACTGTGGAGTGGAGCCATTGTTGCAGCTGATCCCGGTGCACTGTCTGGGGAGACGGTCTATTTCCTTCCTACACATGCGCTGTGCACACATGTGCATGCTGGGCCCTCTGGAGAGTGGCCCATCACGTCACGATGTGACATCTTATGATGTCACAGCACTGATCAGGCACCAGGGAGGGGCTCCTTTGGTCATGACGTGGAGAGAGAAGGTGGGAGTCCTAGTCTCTGTATACTTCTCCTGGATTCTGGAAGACTGGAGGTTCCCCAGGGACCAGGGACCCTTTCTTTCCCAAGGTTCCGGGTGGTGGTGGAACTCCTGCTTGTTGGGTGTCAACACGCTGCCACTGCCTAGCTAGTCTTCAAAGTATGGTGGTGACGAGAAGAATGAGCTCTTCCTCTTGCTCCCACTGTA